TTCATCAGCTAGAAACATACAATCTAGATTTTAGAATCTAAATGTTTTAAATTTATTCTTCTATATGGAATTAGGTTGCGAAATAATAAGAAGTCACAAAGTAAAAATGGTAACGCCATCTACAATTAGTAAGCAAAATTAAATCTAATTTGAAACCAAGGTGGATAGAAATAACACACTTTACATAGTCGATTACTTACGATCGATTTATCACTCAAACTAAAAAGAGGTGAATTTTTTTCAGGGAGGAGTATTATTACCCCTTCCTTGGTTAGTCCTAGTGGACGAAATTATAAAAAGGCTGATATCCGTAAACTTTTGCTGCCTAGGGCATGGTGATTGTCGAAATGGGCAAGCTCGCAGGTATAATGTACCAGAGTCATAAGATAGATCTATGATAACCTATGGTGACCAAAGATTTGACAAGCTAGAGCCATTGAACAGCTCAATGGTATTCAAAGGCAAGCATCCTTAAGTTATACTAAACTAAACACAACTACACATATTCATTCAAGTCAAGTCAATCCAATACAGACTGTGCTATAAGGAAATGAATTCAGTGGCTATGGAAACAGTTGCAGAACAACAAAATAATGGAAATGCCTTTAGAAGAAATGCTCCTAAAATATAGTTTTCCAAATCAATATTAAGTAAATATACCAGACAGAAAAGCGTGGACGGAAGAAGCCTTTATTCAAGGAGAAATCACCTGAAGGTTTAGGAGTAAGTATACATAGTGCCAAGCCAAAGACGAGGATCTCACTGAGCTTAAGTAAATATGCGACAGTATAGCAATAATACATTACTGCGCAACAAAGGTATTAGGACATAAGGTGAATGGAAAAACCATTGTCATATACTCAGACAGTCAAGCGACCTTAAAAGCAGTCTTTAGAAGCCCTAACAGAGCTGGGTAGTCAAAACAAATTAACGTTAGCTTGAGTACTAGGTCACAGAGGACATAAGAGTATTAAAGAGACGGATTTACTAGCCTAAAAAAAGCCTTAAAGGTTATTATTGTTCCAGAACCCTTCTGTGGTGTTACAAACACAGATATTAGACCATTCACAAAGCAGTGGATGTAAACATAATCTTTGAAATAAGGAAACAATTCAGTAGGGCAGAGCCTGGCCACAATGTTTTTAAAAAAATATCACCAAAACTCATCGAGCATCTACTTAGTCATAATAGGAAAAATAATATAGTACTTGTGGGTCTGTTAACAGGACATTGTAGACTCAACAAACATACTCGCATGTATAACATAGGTCTGGCAGAAGAGACCTTGTGCCAATTCTGTCAGGAAAAGGATGCAGGTATCCAAGTTTAAGGTGCCATTTCGTGATAACTTTTGGAAGCAGTGGTCCCATATGAACGTTCTTCATCATATTTCTGCATTCGTAATATTATATACTTTATTTCACCTTGTCATTCCTTTTTTTGTTTGGAGACTTTCATTTTGAAAATGCACAATAAGAAACTGATTTTAATATTATTCCATTATATTAAGATTTTTTGCTTACAGAGCATGATGAATGGAATATTTATATTTCCTAAGTCTCGCATTGTTGGCTCAGTTGACATGGAAAATCCTTCATCATATTTAAACAGAAATTTCTCAATCTGAAATAAGTTATCTGCGTTATAAAAATAAAATGTAGAAGACGAAAGCCATCACTGCAAAATGATTAATGACTCTGAATTTTCATATAGGGATTATTACATTATTTATGGCTTGCTAAAAAGTGTTCATTACCTATCGGCTCGAAATTTACATAATGACTTTGAATGTATATACGTCATGTGTATTGTTAATGGCCGCGTTGTGCTGGGGTTTAGCAAAATGGAGTGGATAAAAACGACAAAACAAATTATGTTTTTGGATTAGGTACATGTACACATACAGGATCGGTAATAATCCAACCCAAGTGGGCATGTAACCGAAGTTTAAAAGAATTTACTGAATAATATATTTACCGCTGGTCAAAAGCCAAAATGGAATATTATGATGTGTATCAATTCAACTTTAACACGTAGGGTAGATATTGAAAGAAGTAAGAATACTTTTATATTTTAATATGATATATTTATGTCGGTCTTCTGCAATATTAAGGTACTTTAACCAAATACAGACAGGCCTCTTATATGGGTATTTTCCCATTTTCCAATGGTGACTGAATCGACAAAGCATCCTATAAAGAGTCCATTCCCAAATAGTCAACTTCAGTATGTTTGGCGTGTTTAACTGTCAGGAGATATTTGCATTAACGTTCTGGGGAAGCTGGATAGAAGTTTAGACGTTTAAAAATATTAAATTGTGTTCTTTTTTGTGGATTAAGTAAGACTCTACATCTGGTACCCCAGAGAAAGTACTGTTTCAGTAAATTTTGGGTACAAGTACTTGGTCAGAATTTTTAGCTACATAAAGCAGAGAGAGTAGTATCATCGGCAGAGAGAAGACATTTTGACGATGGGTTGTTTGAAAAGGAGAAAAGTCATTACGGAGCCCAGTGGTATTCTAGCGAGTGAGTTAAACTGGTCTAACATGGCGTTGCCTACTTTGAATATGAGGGGAAGACCTATGTTGAACATCGAGAAGATTTGAAGAGAATTTACTGCTGCGACGGTACTAGTATGAAGTGAGTAGATTGCGTTCTAATGAGGTCTGAAACCGTATTGTGAATGATAAATTTTGTTTCGCTTTTCACAAAAGTCCCAAATTCCTTCCTTGAGCAGAAGTTTAAGAGTTTTACCTAGTGCTAATATGATGGAGATAGAATGATATAAGTCTAAGCATTTAGGGTATTTGCCTAGTTTGGGAATAAAACTAGTTTTGGCAGATTTCCAAGCAAGTGAATAGTAGAAAAAAAAGAGACAGGCGGTTAGAAGAACAGTAAGGATGGGACACATGTTTTTAGGAAGATGTTTCTGCGTTCTACTGCGTATAGAATGAAGCCCAGATGAACTCGTTTTGTTATCGAATTCTAAATATGGCTTCAAGGTGTGTCTTGTGTTCTAAGGTTTTCTTATTAGAAGTTGTGTGTATTTCACCATCGATTTCGATGTGAGAATTCGTTTTGGATTTTTTATTAGTGATGATTCGAAATTTGTTCTAAAACTTGGGATCATCTCTATGATCTACTTTAAAAGGGGTATCCATTGTTGTTGTTTATTCCATTCAGTTTTGACGACAGAGTCGTGGGTGCCGACATATTGTTTATAGCAGCGTTACTCAAAGTGTGGTCTGCAGAGCCCTGGGGCTCTGCAGAGCCTTTGTGGGGGCTCCGCGAGGAAAATAATAGTCATAATAAAAAAAGCAGTACTATCGCTACAAAAGGGAGGGACTTGGAGTAAGGACCTTTTTTTATTTAGTTAGAAGTCACTAAGAAGAAGGTGGCGGATATGATTTTGTTTGGAGGACCTTTTATTTAGAAGTCACTAAGAGGAAAGAGGATATGAGTTTGATTTTTGTTGTGGGGGCTCCGCGAAGAAAGGGAAGGGACCTGGATCAAGACCTGTTTTTTAGAGTGACTGAGAGGAAGGACGATATGGACCTCTTTTCGCTTTTCAAAAAGGTTACATCACCAAAAAAGTTTGAGAACCACTGGTCTATAGAATCGGCGTATTTGGAGGAGAATGAGAGTTAGGATGAATTTGGGGAGCGATTTTTGTGACATATCAAGTCTAAAGTTTCGACAAGCGTGGGTGATGATGGTTTAGACTTCGACTACAAAAAAATCAATGTCCCGTGCAGTGCTCTGGGATGTTTGCAAGGATAGTTCTATGGAATAGTAGCCAATCTGCTTTTTTGAGATTTCGAAGCAGGATAAAATAGGTTTTATATTCAGCATTGATGGGAGGTAGTTGGAAGTAATCTCTCCAATTAAGCATCCATCAGTAACCAGTTCAATACAGGTATCTGTTAGAAGTATATTGTCGGTAATAGTCGGTTTAAGGCTCTGAAGATAATATAACTAACACCTTTCACACCAATATAGTTGTAAGTTCGCCAGTAAGCCAATCGTTATAATTTCTAGCAACAGTGAGGATGACCCTATTTTCTTTAGTGCCATAACAGTTGTAGATAGTGGGATATATTAATCGATTTTACCAGATTATACCATCTAACAGAAAATATCTGGAACTTAATACCTTAAAGCAAGGCCGTAGCCAGGGGGGATAAGGGGAATTAAAGTTTTAATGAGACTGCAGTTATAAAAAAGGGCACCCGTCTCACTTAGTTGTTATACACAACATAATAGTTAATCACTACAAACAAAATTCTCTACCTACTGTTATTTTTATTATGTATGACTTTATGCTTGCTTGGTATTCGCACGACGATACTTAAATAGCGGCGCAGCGACATCTATTAGGGAGCGGCAAAACTACGTGCTACGCCAACTACACAAGCAACGCAACTTCGGGGACGTGCTCGAACTACATTTCCGGAATATTCAATAACCATAGAATGAGATGGGTTATTCTCGATGTTTCGTTGCGCCGCGTCTGAGGAATATATAAGCGAGCCGTAGAGCACGGAGAGGCAGTTTTGTCTTGGAAAGTGATCCAATGCGATGCGACTAAGGCGATATAAGCGAAGTAATAGTGCAATGTGTAAAATAATGGTGCCGTGAATTAGTGGTGTTATAATTTTTATAATTTAAATTAAAAGGATTTGATGCCTAAGAGTAGACTACCTACTCGTATTCATTTTCTTTTAAATCTTCATCAAAGTAAATATTTGTGTACAAATGGAATTAATACTTGGCTGTTTTTTTAATTGTTACAGGTCGGTTCAACATTTGAAATGGCGAAAAGGACGCAAGAAAAACCATTATTCAAATTATTATTTAAAAAATCTAAACCTGGTACTGGTAGTGAAGGTTCTACTGAAAATCAGTGTTCAAGTGTTTTCGACAGTGATACTGCTACAAGTAGTTCTGGTACTTCTGCTGCCGTTCCTGGGACTGTGGATGATGTTTCTCAGCATGTTTTAGATGTAGGCTATTATACGGGATCAAACACCAAAATTGATGATGATTTAAAGTACAAATTGTTAAAATCTCCTTGGATGCCACAAAAGACATTCAAGTTTCCAGTAAGTGACGATGAAAGAAAGTTAAAATTTCAAAATGCAATGGTTTGAACGGTTCTCGTGGTAAGTTTACACGAGTACAGGGCAACAAGGTGCTTTACGCCAATATTGTGTATTATTTGCCAGAGATTGCGCAGGTAAAGGCTCTCATCAGTAGTTGAAATCCTTAGTTACTCAACCGCTTACTAAATGGAAAGATGCTGTACATGATTTCAAACATCACAGTAAAAGCCAGTACCACAAATCTTCTGTATTATTGGCTGATAATTTTATGAAGGTGTACAATAAATCTCAACCAAATTTAATAGGTCAGATTGATAGCGGATACCTAGCGCAAATAGCTGAAAATCGGAAACGGCTCATTCCGATTATTGAAACAATTAAATTATGTGAACGTCAAGAAGGTACGTGCGACTCGGGTCCAATAAAAATTAATGATGCCGAGCCAGAAACAAATGATGGAAACCTTCGTGCTTACGGATGAGAAGCAGATGTAATAAAGCACACAGAAAATAAGACGTTGAACGCTACCTACCTAAGCTCGACCATACAAAATGAACTTATTGCAATTTGTGGTAAAATAATCCAGAAAAAAATTGTGCAAGGATTAAATTCTGCGAAATTTTTTTTAATCCTTGTCCATTTATCTAAGATATGCCGAGCCAAAAGATAATGGGTTTTTCTTGCGTGAAGATTTTTTAACTTTTGTAACTATTGAGAATACAAAAGGAAGATAGAATACAAAAGGAAGATATTTTATTAAAAATAATTTATGTTTTTCTACTGTTTCACCAAATTAAACCCCCCCCCCCCCCCCGAAATTATTTTCTGGCTACGGCCTTGTCTTAAAGAGTATATAGTATATAGAGTATAAAGAGTATATGAATAGGTGTAGATTGTACAATATACATCTACATTATATATTAATGAAGCTTTGAATCAAGTAGATAAAGATTAAAATAACACAACTTCCCAAAATCTAGCAAGAATTATAAAAATTATCACATATTATGAACACACAATCTAACCACGCAATTCTACCAAAGAGTAAGTTCCACTACTTGTTTTGATCTTGTAGCATGTGTAACAAGTTCTGCAAACGTTTTCATTATCGTAAAAATACCGAGGTCGATATCGGCCGTAGGTCTATATTCCCAGACTTTAACTAAAACTTTTGTTGATAAAATAATTAAATTTCTGAGAAATATTTTCGCTTTATTGTGGTAAAATATGGCCTCCCCCTTTATAAATAAGGTAACGCAAGAAAGGTTTAGAATGAGTTCGATAGAGGCTGTCAGTGTACTTTTCAGTGCTCCTATAATGCCATGCTGTGCACTCGTGACAGGGTGTTAGGAGCAGATTTACTACATAATATATTTTTAATTTAGAAATATCTACTGAAATCAAATCATAAAAAGTTTTTATTATTTATGTTCTAGTAAATAAGATAAATTGTGTTGATAGTAATATTATAACCGACAGTATCTGTGTTGTAATAAAAAATGAAAACTATTCGTATGCCAATAAAAGTAAAAATATTGCTTGGATATTTTTTACCGTACACTATCCAAGAGATGTAGTTAATTTTCGAATGACATGCATTACGTATTTTAAGGGCGCAGTTTCTGGAAAATGCATGCATGAAAATTACCCAATAAAACGAAACGACTTTAAATTATTCGAAGAAGAACTTAATTAACAAATTGAACAGTATATTATACAACAGACTAGAATAGGCACTTAAACAAAGATTGATCAATATTAATCCTGAATATGTAAACTCCAAGTATCTTAGTAAATTTAAAACTAGAACAATACGTTGTTTACCAACTTTATAAATCTTATAGGCATCAACATTTGTTGAAATTACATTCAACATGTCCTATCTGCTAAATACTAGGTAGACACTCCCTGTGTAAACCTCCGCCTTTAGCAAACAAAAATAATAAAGTACTGAATAGTCACTCCCTGTATAAACTAATTATCTAAACTTGAAACACGCTTGACTTTCAAATGACCGCTAGACACCTGTGTCTTCGCAAACAAAAAAGGCGGTAAAACCGTCGCTGGCTGGCGGGATTGTATCGGAGAAAAAACTTCACTTTCATTTTGTCAGTCGAACAACTCACATCAAAAAATCTTGTCATCGCCGGCAGCAAGCCGAAATTTAAGTAAAAGCATTTGTGCGATTTGATTTCAAAAGTTATAACATGTAACCAGTTAATAATTTACGTAACCAAGTATTAATATGTAAAATGTGGAATCAGTAAGCCGTGAATATATCAAATTCAAATATAAGGTGATAGTTTCATTTGAATAAAATCAGTGCATCATCCACAACTTCGAGAGCATCCTCCAGAGGCTACAGGGTGGAGCATAAGACCTTCACCCCCAGGTAACATATTTCGAACATAGTCATACAGTCCACACATGATCGAAGGCAGTAAGTGTCAAGCCTTATAAACCCAGGGTAAGACAACATTCTCCTATTGAATTTAATCTAAAGATAGAATATAAAATTTTGCAAAAAAACACTTGTTGACATTAATCTTGCATGTATAATAATGTATATACCAGCTAAGAATTAATTTTCTCTGAAACTGTCTTTAAAAATCATACAAGAAACTCATCCTATCATACATCGTTAGTTTACTGTAGATATCATTAAAATATTAAAAGGTGTTGTCTCAAGTACAAGACGACCTCAAATGTATATTACCTGGGCCAGTTTAAAAATGATTGGAAAGCGATAAAAATAGAAAACGCCATATTACATTCAAATGTTGTTAAAAATAATATGGATAATAAGCCTCCACAAAAGCGGCCTAATCAAGTCCCTAGACAGCGACGCTAGTTCTGCCTCCACAAGAGGTCAGGAACACGACGGAACTAGGGACAAAAAAAGGCCGCGATCTCACACCTCTTCCGAGGTAACGCCCAGGAAAGGGAAAAAACCAAGACAGGACCACAAAGTTCCGTCGGGGATAGGCTACAAGGATGCAGCTACGAGTCATCTCAAAGAAGCTATAATAGACAAAAATAACCCTTACGGTAAGATAACTACCGAAAGAGAAATCCTTGTCAGAAAGACACTGATAGGAGAGCTGGACAAAACAATCTTGTCCGCTTCTTGCAGCAAAATCAAGCCACACACATTCAGGTCTTGGTCGCACTCTGGTGAAATCATCAGAGTGACCTGCGACGATAACCTGACGTTGGAATGGCTAAAAACTAAGGTACCAACCTTAAAAACATAGGAAGGAGCAACACTCGCAGTTGAAAGGATGGACGAGCTTCCCAAGCTCACCAAAGCCTCTCTCTGGATCCCAGGGGAAATGCAAGCTGACCTTGACGAGAAAGAGGTTGTGCTCAGGCGACTTGAGGGACAAAATCCAAACTTGCATGTAGCGAAATGGTGCACCTTCCACCATGAAATCAAAAAAGACTCTAAGGGCCATCTCTTCGTCTTCGGCATCGGAGACAAAGACATGGAAACCTTAAAGGCCAAATCAATGAGGATGAGCTATGCATTCACCTCATTGATTATAAGGCCAAAGGTCGAAAAAGAGGCTAAAGCGGAGCCCAGTGAAGACTCCTTGGTAAAGGACCCTCTTTCTACCCAATTTAAGCCAACAGTGGAGGACGTCGAGCCAGAAAAAATGGCAATTGATAACCTCCAGCAAAAAAACTCCCGAAGAGCCAAAAGAGACCACCCCCTCCCCTCTTTCGGAGGAAGATATGGTCGAATAAATAACCATCTTGCTGCCTAATTTTCAACGGAGGACCGGGAAGCAATAAAAGAGGTAACAATTATACAATGTAACTTGCAGCACAAAAGGATAGCCCTCAACATTATATTGACGCCTTGATGAGCTGCAAGATACAATAGCACTCATCCTGGAACCCTGGATAATAAAAACCAAAATTTTAGGTCTTAAAAATCTAAATGGTTCAATTTTTAGCTTTCCCAGCAACGAACAACCTAGGACAGCCATTTACATTTATAGAAAATATAAAGCCCACTCAATGGCACACCTTTCCACCTCCGATTTAACTGCGGATAGGATGGAATACGCCATTAAAAGGGAAAAGAGAACATTAATCCTAGCATCTGCATACCTTTCCTCCGACGCAATCACGCCACCACTTAGCAAAGAGATGAAGGATCTGACTAAATACTGCTTGGAACAGAAGTTTGAGTTGGTAATAGGTTACAACTCAGACGCTCATCACTTCAGTTGGGGCAATAAGGATAACAACGTTAGATGTAAGTCACTTTATGATTATATAATTACCAAAAATCTTTGTATTTTAAATGAAGGTACCACACCAACATTTTTAACTCTCGTAGTCAAACACTAATAAATATCACTTTATCCACAACTGGTATCTATAAATCAATTCTAAACTAGCAAGTGTCTGATAACATTTCGATGTCAGACCACCGCTGGTTAACATTCAAAATAAACTTGATGTTGCCGACCTCCACGCTATCTCGAAACCCTAGGAAGACGGATAGGGCAACCTATGCCCACCTTCTCCAACAGGCTCTGAGAGAGATGGAGGCCGAAACACCAAACAATATTACTACTTGGGAAAAGTACACGAACACTATCCAAAGCACAACAAAACAATGCCTATAAGAAATCCTGTCCTCTGAGGCTGATCCAACACGATCAGAGGACTACCGCATGGTGGTGTCACGAGTTAGATCACCTCAGGAAGATGGCTAGGAAATATTTTAATAAGGCAAGAACCACAAAATTCAAAGAGGACTGGGATACTTACAAATCTCCAAGGTAGTGTATAGGAACCATTGCTAATTCCTATTTACACTAAGAATGTTGAAGTCATAATATGATTGATGCTCCATCTACAGACTATCCAAAGTAGCTTTTTCGGCGAGCCTTGTGTAAAACTAATCAAAATAAACCTTAAACTGAAGTCCTAATAACTTCTTTTGAAATACACTACTACTAGCAATTATTTAGTAATAAGGGTTTTAACAAGTATTAGAAATTAAAAATTAAAAAAAACCGACTTCAAAAACGTGCAGTTGCCATCACTACATCTTAACCAAATTTATATGGGACCACCCCTGAGATACCCCTTTACTAACAAAAAAAGAATCATATAAATTGAACAAGGTGATAAAGCATTATCGCTAAACATACATAAACAGTGAAGAGTTTGAGGAATTTCTCATGGATCTAATTATTAGATTTTGACCAAATTTATATGGGACAACCCCTAAAGTACCTCCTTTCTAACAAAAAAAGAATCCATGAAATCGGACATCGTTTTAAAGAATTATCATTGAACATACATAAAAAAAAATATTGCGATGAATTGAGAACCTCCTCCTTCTTTGAAATCGGTTAAAAATGTTTATGATATCGATTTAAAGTTTCTTAATATTGTTTTAGATTCACCGGTAGATAAACTTCGGGTGAGCTGTGCACTGACGGCTCTATAATTGCAGGA